CTCGCGCTGTACCAAAGGCTGCTTGATCCAGCATCCTGCTTCCAGAGTAGCCCATTCTTCAACAATGTATTTGAAAGATCTGCCTCCTTGTGATGTGTTTTTAAAATGATAAAAGACTGAATGTAGCCTAGTGACTTGTAGAATCAACAGTCAATTGCAGACAAATAAGCAAATTTACAAGCATTCCTGAAATAAATTGTTAGTTTTCATGTCAAGTCATCTACTTCAATAGATCCCAGACCTGGAGAAGGAGCTGGTGGACTTGAAGTCTCCCTCTGCTGAAGACATCTCCAGAGTGCTAGATTCCTACCAGAACCAGGTTAGAATCCTTAACACAAACATAAAATATCCAAAACAGTTTAAAAAGGCAACGAGTTGGCCCTCAGACATCTGTTTTCATGTGACCCCATGAGAGACTGTGTTGACCATTGTGCCCTCTCTCCACAGAGTAGACTGGATTCTGAGAAGGTTTTTGTCTTGGACAAGCACATGTTGGATATTGACAGGTATGCCTTGAATGTCTGTGTTCCCAAATATAAACAGAATCTGAATGGTTCAAACTAGTAAGCAGCTAGTCACTTAAAGGATAAAAACCTGCTGCTGCATTAGCTCCCACTGGTTGGGTGGGGTGCAAGCACAGTTGGGAGGAGAATTTGTGTTGTGTGTATGTAGGCAAACATCCTCTGAGCAAAGCTAATGGATGGTAAGTGAAAAGAAGCCGTGTGTACACCCTCCCCACGCCAAGGCTGGACTGAGGAGTCACAAAGACTGCAGTTCACAGGGAATGGACCTTTTTTGTAATTGTTGGAAAATATCTGGGAAGAAACACAATGAAATACAAAAAAACAACAGTCCCTTTTCATGGAGGACATTTTGACTTGTCATGCACGGGTGTAAGTAGTAACATTACTGGTGACTGCATCGTACAGGAACACTGTAACAAAGTCATTGTTGCTGTACTGCTTTGCCATTGCAGAATGTCTGCTGTGAAAGGCTGTCTCCACACAGCCTGAAATCATGTCAGAGATGACATTAGAGAGACTAAAACCAACCATGTGTTAGTCCGTCTCTCATCACCCTGACTTCCCTGCCCTGTTGTTGGAGTCCACTCAGATACCATTCATCCCTACTGACGATGTGCATCTTTAAAAGCTGATCAGTACTCTCCTAAAACAGCTGCGCACTGTAGATTTAGTAGATGTTACTCAAACAGGAGTACAGTAAATATCGTATTTGTTAGGGACTATTTTTAGCTGTGGCCACAGAAAATACTTGGTAGTAGAATCAGTTCATTGTTGGTTTTGCTTCCTTCACGGGTTTTGTTGATGTAAGAAAAATGGAGAATATTGCCAGCCTGGTCCTTTGGCCTCAAACTGTAACAGCATCAAAGCAGACACTGAAAGAAGAATTCTTCTGATTTGAGTTTGAATGAGAGTGAGCTGCATGTTGGTCTGTCCTTCCCTTCAGGCTGTTCAGCTCCAGCAGCGTGGAGGGCATCATGCAGAACCTGAAGGCAGATGGCTCAGAGTTCGCTAACAAACAAGCGGAGGTATGATCTTGACCTGCGGCTTTATCCGAATCACTGACATCATTCATTTATTCTCCAAGCAGTTGGTAGAAACTGCACACGTGTCCCTAGATTTCTGTACATCAACTGTCCTGAATGCATTTACACCTACTGCATATTGTGGTTATACAAACTATTTCAAAGTACTGTCCATTCAGCCCTGTTACTCCACCATCAGATAAATCCCACTGACAGTGCTGGAGTAGAGCCAGGGTATTATTTGCTTTAGCAGTATATGTTGGTAATTAGCAATTTACCTCAGTTTAAGCACTTAATGGGGTTAGTCTTAGTCTTCCTTGTAGGCTGTGCCACAATCCCTCCCGTGAGATTGTGGAGCTCTTAGCCCACCACAGGGGCTTCATTCCACAAATGTTCCTAATGATTAGAAAATGGACTATTCAAGCATGTGACTCTTCTCTGAGTGTTTCACGTCATTTCTACCCCCATAGTCCAATGAGATCAAACGTGGGATGCAAGGCGCATAACCTTCTGAAACAGTGCACATGCCCAAGTTTAGACCCCACCCCTCTGTTCATTGTTCCTCTCCTGATCACTCCAGGATTACTAATAGTGTACCACTAGCCAGCTGTTAATGTGAGCCTCCACTGACTGATCATTACCTGTTTATTATTGGATTAGTAACATTTGAAATATAGTTCTATTAAAGAACTGTTTTAAGGTTTAACAAATATTGCCTGGCTGCGTTCATTCAGTTTAACAAACATTTCAACCCATGAAAATGTGAATTGGGGCCGATGACGGTCAGCTCAGGAATCAAATATTTATTATAAACCCACTTCCTCAGTTACCACTACACCTCTGACTCACTGCCCTGCATTTACATGGAACATCCTTAGCCGCCTTTCTCCTCAGTTACACGTCGCTTTGCTTGTTTTTGTCCACAATTTTGTTTGATAATTCATTCTAAAAGCAAATTAGGCATCATCCCCGTCTTTCTGTTAGAGTCTCCAACACAGAAAGGTTCCCTGTGTCTCCTCTTGCAGACGCTGTCCAGGATGTCTCCCACGTCCCTGAAAATCACCTATAAGCAGCTGCAGGCGGGTGCATCTCTGAGCCTGCAGGACGTGTTGGTGATGGAGTATCGGCTGAGCCAGGCCTGCATGGTAAAAAAAAGCTACAGGCTCACTAGCTGGTGTGTCAGCCTGCAGGGAAATTATTAACATCCATCAGCTTCATTTTTTATACTTCTCACTTTTGTAGTAATCATAATTGGAAAGGAAGAGAGGGATTAGTAAATGATTCTTTAAAGCTGTAAGTCAGTATTACTTACCTTTAATAATCTACCACAGCTGTTTTAGTTTGTTAGGATTTGATCTGTTGGAGTAAAACCTTTTAAAGGATGTCATCTCATGAGATTGTTTCTGTTGTTTTGCAGAGGGGCTGCGACTTTTATGAGGGTGTAAGAGCCGGTAAGTCCCTGCAGTATTGTGGACAACAAAAGTGGAATAGGGTGGATGTGAATTTCATTCATGTGGCATAATTTATATGGATTGCACAGAAAGCTAATACAGAACTAAAGTACAATGAAAAAGAAAGTAATATTGATTTAAAAGTTATTTAAGAATCAATACAGTTTGTCCTAAATCATCTGATTTCCCATCTTTGTGGTGATTTTCTGCATGTTTCCAGTGCTGGTTGACAAGGACCAGAATCCCAAGTGGAACCCGTCAACACTGGAGGAGGTGTCTGATCAGACTGTAGACCAGTGCTTCTCCTCGCTGGGAGAGAAAGACCTGACCTTCTGATGTCTGTCAGCCAACAGCTGCTTCCCACCTTCAAACACGCACCACCAAGCCTTCGCCAAGCCTCCAGTCCCCACATGCCTCTACGGTTAGTCATGTGAGAGGATAGGAGAAAGTCTATTATTCTATGACAATACATGGATAGGTTGTATACTTATTAGTCTGACTCCCTACTATTAAATACAGTGGTGATATTTTACAGGAAAAATCCAGACTGGTCAGATTCATGTTCATGGTCAGAAGTTGAAAATAGCAGCAGGAGAGGTAGCTGACAGATGTCCCGCATTCAGAATGTTTAGAGTTGAGGTGCTCTGCAGTGGAAGTGGAATCTTTGTTTGCATAAGTGATAACTCTCTTCTGCTGCAAGTTCAAGGACTCTGCCGCACAGCAGCATGAACATGAGGACATGGGAGGAGAAAATGATCTCACCACTGAGTGCTTCATTACATTTCCTGTGGCTTGGATCAGTATCGTCTGTATTTCTACAGTGTGGTCACTTGTTGTAATTGAGATAATGTATTATCTCTATTTCTGTAGTTTTTGTCTTTTTTCCCCAGTATGCTTACCAGTATTTGTATTGTTTTAGATGTAATGTGGATTAAAAAAGGAATTCTCTGACAGATCCAAACACTCCCCAAGACAAACGGCAGATATAGAAGTACATAAATCTTTTACTCTGAATGCATTTACATGATTGTTACATTGAGCAGTTTGAAATGTGTGTGATATAGTGTGTTTTCATAATTAACTTCTGATGGACATGTCACTGTTTTTCAGTAGGAGTCAGATCACCTCCCTAAACATTAGTTTCCAACAGCTGCATTATTTATGAGCCAGACAGCCAGATTAGGCATCGATGCTGGAACAGAGGGCAATAAAGAGTTGGTAATGTAACAAAATGTTCTTGTGTTCTTGGTAAATGAAGGAGGATCTTTTATGGCCTGCTTATCGAGTGTTCTTGTAAAACATTGACAAGTCAAGTCTAAAGTACCTTTTGTTATCAGCAGCATGGAATCACAATCTGCTGCTCAATTTGAACTCTAGAAAGTCAACACATTTGTTTTAATTGCATGGTGGTTTACAAACTGCAAGTCTTGCATATTTTAATAATAATAGATTAGTCAGACAAATGAATGACTAAGTTATTGGGTCTGATAGTACTGACTTACAAATGACTAAAAACATTATAAATCAGGGTTTTGAATCCCACGCTATGTGCAGTATGGACACCTTTACCTCTTAATCTGTATGTCACATTCATCAAGCACCACCAGCACTGACTTCACAGCTGCTCACCAGGCAGACAGGATGACCTCCACATACTGTAGATAATAAACTGCCATAAACACTAAGAACACGGTCTGAGTGTTTCTCTCTGCGTCACAGATAAACCTTCATGCTTTATGGCTACCATTTGCTCCTCAAACAGACGCTGGCCAGCAGTCATTTCTTCCCCTATTTCTTTATCTTTTGTTTGTTCTGTGGGTAGCTGAACTTTTTACCTGCTGTGTGTTCAGTGTCCACCTGTCTTGTTTTACAGGTATTTTAAATACACACTGTTGAGTCTGTATGTATCACTAATGTGTTAAAAAGCGTGCGTGTGTGTGTGTACTTCAACCAAACTATATCATAACCCAAGAGGTTTAGAAAATGATGAAATGTTTGAATGATAGAAGGCATAAAATCTGATTTATTGGCATTGTCAGTTTTAACACACTGTATGTACAGTTTGCAAGTTAAATGAATAGTGTAGTATAGTGATATGCAAAAAGTCACACATTTTATGACGATCTATTGACAGGCCGACTTGTATGATCGTACAAAGCTTTTTTTCACTTATTTGACAGCAGACTAATCATGGAAACTATTCATCACTGTTCATGTTTAATCTTAGTATCACCTCCGTCACTCTGACCGCGCTTTCTACTATGGGTCACTTTGTTATGAAACACTTATACATCAGAGGCATTGTGGGTACAGGAGTCTGAACCCTGTAATCACCTGCAACAATGGCTATGACATAACATATGACTCATGGTGAGCTAACACCTGATTTTAAACAAGTTTCTTAAAGAGGTCATATTATGCTTTTTGGCTTTTCCCCTCTCCTTTATTGAGTTATATACCTTTTTTTGTGCATGTAACAGGTTTGCAAAGTGAAAAAGCCCAAAGTCCAGCCCAAAGGGAGTTCCCATCTCCCACAGAAAACTCTGCTCTGCCTGAAAACAGCTTGTTTTTAGTCTAGCTTTTACTTCCGTAACCTATCTGCGTCACTTTGTAACATAATTCTCGCCTAGCGGCAAGTGTGGTACACCATTAAAAACACTGGTGGAGAAACACACTGAGCTGCAGCACACACAGTGACAAGACGTCCGCCTGCTGCCTCCCCTCTCACCCCTACCTCCTTACCCACAGTTAAAACTTTATGCAAAAGGGAAAGCTGGTTCGGGAACTTGTACAGCTGAACCGAAGCCCTGGTTACCAGCAAGACAGGATCTGCCCTACTCTGCTTTTGACTGGCTCGTAGTACTACGTAACTACGTAACTACGTACTGCGCATGCGCAACTCCCAACAAAGATCAAACAAAGTGAGATGCTTCAATCTGTAGCTAAAATGGAGCGTTCAACACACAGGGTGGAAAGAGGAGCTGCAGACAAAAATATGAAAATGAAACCATGTAAATATGTTCTGGTACAACCCCTAAATAAGATGATGAACCTGAAAATGAGCATAATATGACCTCTTTAAGACACTGAACAAGTTGAAAATGTACCAGCAACTATTTTTTCTGTTTTTGTCATTTCTCAAACAAATGTCAGTCTTTGATGCTTGTCTTTGCCATCTATGATATGTCTTTAGGGAATGGACTGTTGGAAATGACTGCAGGCTGTGGGAAATCTTAAAAGGCATTTTCACTATGGTCTGACACTTTATAGACAAAGCAATTAATCAAGATAATTATCGAAAAATGAATTGCTAATGAAATTATTGGTTAGTTGCCAGCCCTCCAGACCCTGGCCTGCACCCCGTGATCAATAATCCTAGAGCAAGTTTTGGATGAGTCTGGCCAATTCAGCAGCGTCTCCCGTCTGTGTCGAAAACCTGCTGGTGTAAAACAATTTGAAATGGGTGACCTTTAAAAACTATAAATCAGTTTCCAATAGGAAGCACAGGCAGCCTTTCAGTCAGCTTCAACTTTTAAAAGCTTCAACTGGAAGACGGATGTTTAAATGAAGACAAGCGTTCACAGTGGATCTGATTTTTACCTCTCTGTGGTGCAGATGCAGTCCCTTCATGGCTGTCTCAAGAAGGAAAATCTAATTCACTGCCTTTCTTGTAGACGACCACGAGACCTGCTCTCTGCCAGAGGTGAAAAACCTGAATCTCTTGTGAATTTGTAAACACACGATACCACAATTTGTAAATTGTGACTTTTCTCAGTGATGACATCATACTCGAAATGCAACATTTTGCCCGACATCAGCATTATAACAACATCTTTGATGTATAGCCTACGAAATAAATTCCCCTCACACAATTTGGTGTCAGTATTCTAAATGTTGTTAAAAATCAACATGGAAAATAAAAAGACTCATCAACCTCCAGCACGTGAACTGTAAAGAGAATGTGCACCTTTAATTGCATGAACTGACCAAACTCAATTCTCTTCGCACTGACATCACTTCTTTGTTGTGCTAATGAAACAAGCCTTTTGGTTTTTTAAATCCCAACATTCAGAGTAAACAGCACAGCAGCGAGATTAGCCTTCATGGTTTTGTCTGAAGTAAAACAAATGGCATCAGATTAAGAAGTAGGAGTATGGCGCGTGGAGAACAGTGTCTAGTTATGTTTTCTGTGATGACTTTTAAAGGTGTCTGACGGCACACATCGTGTCCCTTTTGAGAACCCTCTCTCAGTCAGCAACCCTCAGCTCACCTCAATAATACTGCTTGTAAACTGAGGCTTTGACGTGCGATCTGTGATGCTGCTCTTCGCTAAGTGACCGGGCACGCTTTGAGTCAGAACTCAAATAGCATTTGTATTGGTTAGACTTCCCAATACAATGTGACTCACATCACCTGTATTTATTGGGACTGGCCAGTTAAATGTCAATGCTAAAACACTGTCACTGTTAAAAGAGAAAACCTGGGGAGAAGGCAAGTGGCGAGGATCCCCTGCCACTGTTTTATATGGCTTATCAGCTTGTGTTGAAGTATTCTAACAGTTACTACGACACTATTCAAAGCTGTGACCGCTGCAAATAGTTGTTTGGCAGTTTAAGTGTTCTCGTTGATGCTCCTCAGTAGAGCCTAACTATTAATGTGACTTGAATTTTGGGTAAATCCCAGTGACATCAGAGTACCGTTTGACTTCTGACTTCAGCCAAACTACCTTTCTATCTGCCAAACAAAGGCCAGACCTGCATAATGTCCCCTCTGATATAAATCATACGGTACAAAACAATTCACCTAAACTGTGTTGGGCTCATGGTAACATTCATTAAGGACTTCGGCAGTTGTGAACCTCTATTCCAAATATATCTACTCTGTCCCCTTGGTATGTATCGTCCTCTGTTATGGAGCAGCACCACACTATTTTAAGAAGTTATATACTGTATATGCTCGGTTGTAATGTCATGGGTTTCGAGGTTTGCATATTTGTGCTGTTGTCCTCTATAGGGCAGATGGCAGTATTTTTCGGTTAGGTGTTGTACAATGACACACGATTAACAAAAAATTAGGCCTACAATATTTAAGCCAAAACTAAGTGTTTTGTTTTTTTTTAAACTCCAGTTCTGTTGACAAGCCAAATCCTTTTTGAAAAGTGTGTCAGTCCTTTGTCACGTCGTGGTTTCTTCGTGGCTGAGAGACCAGCAAGTCCCCAGTGATCTGGGTCCTAATGTAAAAGTTCCCAAACTGTGACTTGTGTATACAGAATATCCTGGAGCGCAGGAAATACATCATTTGTACACATAATTTCCTGGACCCATTTTGAGAACCCTGCCCGCTGGTTGAAGCCTAATGGCAGTGAGATAAGCAGAGCCGAGGAAGATGCTCCTGGTTGCGGTTCAGCCACGGGTGTCTCCAGGGAGGCCATTAAGGGAGAACTTGGAGCCTTTTGTCAGACCAGAAGGAGCAGGACAGCTGGGTGTGTTTCTGACCTGATGATTCCAGCGAGATTTTTCAAGTGAGAGCCGTCACCAAATGAAGGGATCTATAAATAACTTCCACCGTAAGAGGAGAGAATCTTGGCCCTAGGACAGCATCAATGGACAGGATAGACTTTCACTGGCAAGGAGGAACATTGCGATTCCAGGCAATATCTGATAGGATTTCTTGCTTTGCATTATAAGACCAGCCGCAGAGAGCCAACACATACAGAGACGGGGGACAAATAAGGTCTGAGAAAGACGATATCCAGCTAAAGACACTCTGCTTCAGCAAGTCTCCAGCTTTGATACAGATAATCACAGAAACGAGCACGGGATCAGAGTGCTTTGGTCGCTTCGGAGGAGGCTTTTTAGACTCAATCCAAGTATTATCCAATCCAAAAGTAGGTCAAAACTGCATTGCTGACAGCTCACTCATATTCCTGCCCACAGCAGGTAGATGCTTGAAGGATTCTTTCTGAATGGAGGGTTTTCAGACTATTGGCCTTGTTTAATCACATGTAGAACCTCCAGTATAAATGTCTTTCTACTGTGACTTCCCTTCCCGTGTCATGGTACGTCACATTCAATGTAGGGGATGTCGCTGTAGCGGCGGTCCACCTCCACCCACTGCTGCACAGCCCGGGCCACGATCTCCTCAGAGAGCCTCTGGGCGTACTCCAGCAGCACTGGGTTGACCTGAGGGGAGCTCTCGGCCGAGCCCGTCTCTGAGTGAACCAAGTAGGCTTTCCCGCCCGTCCCTTGGCTTCCACCTTGTCTGTGGAGTTTGCATTTTGGACTGCAGAGTCGCTGCTCTTGGATTTGACGCACCCCATACTCTGGAGGGTGTAGCATTGATGTACTTTAGGGTGGGAGGTGTGCGGTGGCAGTGAGGTGCGACAGACGTTGGTTAGATTTCGAACAACATTTTCATTTTGACTGTGGAAGCGAGCGGTCAGTGCATCCCAGAGGCAACTCTGTGCTTCCCCTCGACTTCTAGCGGCTGCGGTCGCCCTTGTGCTCCTGTCATCCACTCCCACTCTCATCCATGAGTGCCAACATGTGTGACGGTCAGTGTTACACAGTAGAGGGCGGTGATTTAGAGGGCGCTGGGGGGCAACCGGCTAGGAGGCCCATCCCTGTGTGGGTCTGGCGGTGTTGAAACAGTCAGCCCTGCTCCCTTGGTGCCCTGAACTCATCCCTTCCTCAACTGCAGAGAGAAAGAGATAAAGGGGGAGAGGGAGGATTTCAGCGGTTTATTTTCCATCAGAGGCAGCCTACAAATACCAGATGGCAGAAACGAGGAAAAGATTGTGAACAATTGTCACAAGGCCGTGGCAACTACGTGACCCGGGCTGCAGTGGCTCGAGGTCAAGGCCTCTCTGTGGCACCTCTGTAGAGTCCGTTTTAAATGCTCTGCACATCAAATGTGTTGCTCCAACCCCCCTCCCCTCACAGTGTTTTATGACTCAGTCCCTCGGCCTATTTTGTGTTGCATGACACAGGGACGTCTGTCTCTAGCTTGAGTGCACTGATGCTGTTTTGTTGTAAGCCCGTGTCTCCCATCTGTTCCACTAACGGAGCCTCGCAGCCTGATTCACAGTGACAGCTCCTTTTCTAGGACTACGGGCCTTGGAGCACAGCAAAACATGTGCTTCATTCAGAAAGCTGCATGCCGGAGTCTACACAACACACAGGCCATGAATGATTTATGCAGAGCAGGGAGTCTCCCTGTGAGTGAAGCAACATTTGGAGGTGCACAACATCAACACAGGAGTCTGAGCTGTCACTGCCAAACCTTCTGCCAGATCTGATGCTGTGTTAATGAGCTTAAAAGGTTTAAATCGTGTCTTAATGGTAATATGCACCAAACTGTGGGAGCATCCTTTAGCTGCATACACACACATGAGATTTGGATTAAACCTGATTCATTTGAACAAACACAGTGCGGAGCTTTGGTGCAAGCCTGCTCTGAGCCTCAGCGGAAATATCTGTGCAAACATGAGATTAAAATGAATATGTCAACAGAATGTGCTGCGATCCTGTAGAGCTGTACATACTTTTAACAGAGTGTGGCAAAAGCGTCAGGGTTTTCTCCATTCCACAAAAAATAAAAAGAAAAAGAAATAACCCGGCGACAGAAGAAATAACCCAAGGTCGTTCAAATAAATAATAATCCTGACATCATCTGGTGTCGCTCCGGTTCTTCTGTCCTCAGCTCTTCAAACAACATCCGAGCGACTCGAACTTGAATGTTATTGACTGTATGCAACGTGTGAAGAAACAAAATGATCTCTCAAGTTGCTGCTGCTCCCTGGTTTGGTAAACGTTACCGCAGGATGAAAAGGTTCGCACCAGACTTCAAAATAATCTCTGAAGAAGGGAGGGGGGGGGGGTCCCAGACTGGTGGAGCAGACTGCTGGCGGTGTCCCTGCTGCCTTCACGTCGGTCAACGCCGAGTGGATCCTCAGCAGAGAGGAAATCACAGGTCTGGACTGACTTCAGCACTCCGCGGCAATTAACGACCTGCAGAGGCGCTCAGGAGGAGCGCGGGTTCCTGCGCACTGACGGCGGCTCTGCACCGCCGCGGGACGCTGCAACACTGCCATCTGGCGGCGACACAGGAATACTGCGACGGAAAATGTATGCTAAAGTGACCACACTGCTCTTCAGTGTTTTCATCAATGGTGGAAATAATGTTCACATTTCATAGGTGTCATTACGCTGGGGACATGTCCCCACCACTTTTTAAACTGGCTGATTTTGTCCCCATGACTTTTTTGAAAGCTTTTGTTAAAAAATGTTCTGAAAAAGACAAACGAAATAACAAATGAAAATGCTTTGAGAACATTTGTTTGCACAATAACATAACATGCAATGCAGTTAACATATAGAAGAAACAAACGTCCATCGTCAACCGCTTATCCTGCGTACAGGGTTGCATATTTCAGCAGCGAATATTTATTCAAAATAGTGTTAAAGTATCTTATCATGAACCCAATATTGTCCATCATTGTCACTCCCCAAATCTGAGCCCTTGTGCGCCCACTGTTTTCGACACAAAGTGACCTTTACTTAAACTAACAGTTGTTATTTACGCCACTCCACTAAGTAAGTCTGCATTCAAAGTAGGCCAATTATAGTACTTGAGTAAAAGTACCAAAGTATTATCAGCAAAATGCACTTTGAAGTAGGCCTGTCTCACAGTAAAAGTACTCATTGTGCGGCAAAATAGCCTCTGTCAGTTTTTTTGTATTTTCACCTACATTATCAGTTACTGATGCATGTGTATCTGCTGTGTGAGCAGCATTTAATGTTGTGGCTGGTGAAAGTAGAGCTAGTTCAACTAATTTATTAGGCAGTTTATAACCTACAAACACATTATTTTACAATAATACAATAATAATAACGTTGTGTAGCCTATTGAAAATCTTAATCTTCAAAGTACCTAGTAACTGCAGCTGTCAAATAAATGTAGTACGCTAAAATGTATTTCTATATGCCACCATTGGCCATCATAAATGTGAATTTTGTAAGTCAATATTTTAACGTCTCATAACTTCAAATAAACTGTAACCTAGTGTCTCATTATTCTGACACAAAGTCACATTCTTCACGTATGTCTCATACTATTGGCGTGAGGAAGAAAAATTAAAAACTGGGAAAGTCACACACAATGGATGTGTGTGGTTCTGAAATGAGATTCAAGGGAAAATAGATTGATGTAATAAAAGCAAATAGTTTTAGTCTATACCATAGACTGTACATTAATGTAGCCTGCAGTTTGTACCTGTACAGGTCTATCATCACTTCATTCCATACCTGTCACTTTCTCTGGGGACATGTCCCCAGCACATTTTGAAAGCATTTGTTAAAAATAGCTTACACTAAGAAATTAAAGCTTTATTTGCACTATAAGAAAACATGCAATGCAATTTAAATATAGAAGAAACAAATGTGCATTTTCCAGTATTATATTCTGTTAAATTTTTATTTTTATGAATTGTCACCTGCCAGCTGAATTGTTTTGTTTCCCTTTATTTAAACAAAGACATTTCCACTGTTGGAGCAGAAAATGTCTCCAGAGTGCAGGAAATAAAGTGTTTAACCCCGCTCATATATTTCACCATTTCAAAATTCTTCAAAATAAGGTTAAAAATGTTCTCGTCTTGTCCTCGTACAGCGTAACGTCTTGTGACCCGTGTGCATCATCACACCCATAATCTGAGCCCTTATGTCCCCACCACTTTTCAACACAAAGTGACGCCCTTGCTTAATTCACATTCTAAGTGAGGCAGAATAAGCTTACACAATTAACAGTTCAACCACAATTAACCAAATGACACATTACTACTATGCACAGCATATTCAGTAATTGTGTGGTGTATAACTACTAGCCCGAACATGCACTCCAAGCCCTGCATGCTAACACCTGCAGTAGCAGGGGCCTCTTCTTGCAGAAATTGGTCATTAACAGAAGAACATGTATAACTTCTTATAGTTGGACACAAAGGACAGCAGGACAACAAAGTAAGACAACTAAAGGTTCAGGGGCCAAAGTATCTAAGGTTTTACTACCTGCACACAACAGATGCTTTCTTATTGTGCTGTCTCACATAAAAATCCATTTAAACCATCATTATGTACCATACATCAAAGGAATAGTTCTGCCTCATTATCAAGTGGGCTTTTTTCACAGTCTCTCATGTGGGACTTCAGAAGTAAGTTGGTTAAGTCGAAAGTTTACCTTAGTATTCCTAATTAGACGTTAAGCCCAAATTTTGATGGTAAAATGCACAATGAATTTGACCCACTATGAGACATACATTTTAATCTTTTTCCCTAGTGGGAAATGTCTTCAACCTAAGTAACATCACAAGTCAATTTATAATAATTATTATGGGAATTTGTATGCTACTTTCCATCTAAGTAATTTGAATCATAATTCTGCAATTCGTCAAGATCCACATAAACATTAGGCTATTATATGTAAGTGTAAGCTATACCAGCTTATGAAGCAGCCTTGCATCTAGATCTATCCTCCCTTTACTCATTTCTTTCGCCTGCCCTTATTCAGTAATAAGAATAAGTCATCACTGAGGGAGTTGAGCTGACACTAAGTGCACCTGCAGTAGTAAAACACAGCTCTGTAAAATGCTCCAGCTTCTTAGGTTCAGGGTCACTGATGTTACTCTTCCAAGCTGACTGGAAAGAGTCTTTTCCTGAATGTATTATTTCTCAACTTATTGTGCCTTCCATTTTACTTTCCAAATCATGGGAGGGGATCATCCAGGTCGCCATGTCACTACTGTGGTGGCATTTCCAGTGTGAATGATGTAGTAAACTTGCCACACGATGGCACTATCATCCCATGTGCTACAAACAGGCTTCATCAAAAACCATTTGGGACAAGTCCTGGACCAAGGATATATTTTTTTTAATCTTTCCTGATTTGTTTAATTCCTGTACAGGAAACAATATGTAGGCCTATTGATTTTATATGCGCCGACAATCAGCTTCTCAAAGGGAACCTGATCTTGCTCACTGGATAAAACTGTAACTGTAAATATTTTCAAGGATGAAATGTATTTCCACAACCAAGCACAGTTGCATCCATGTCCCTGCTATCAAAGACAACTGCTTGATGGACTTATAGTGGCCGCAGTTAAAAACGCAAATTTGAATAAACAGTTTTTTATTATTAAAAAACGTATTCACAGCATAAACTACACACGGCTAACTTGCTGTCGGTCATAATGTGCAGTATATGAGCTATTTTGTTGTTTTTGTTTTACTCTGAGTGATATAAGTTGAGGTGCATCGGAACGTTACATGTAACAGACAGTCGGGTCTGCGCCTCTGCCCTCATTGCGCAGTCACTGTATGAAAAGTGAATTTATCCATCTGTGGACACGTTCATCACATGCTCACAGCCTCCATCCCTTTATGGTTTGACAACGAAAAAAAGTTTTCATGTCAGTCGGTCAAAATTCATTGTTGCCTGTCCAGCCAATCATAGTTTTTGACGACACAAAAGAGGCTAAAGTTGGAGTATAAAAAGGTGTGCGCTAATAAAGTATGATGCCTATCAGTGTGGGACATTAATCCAAACCCACTCCAGTCGCGTATCAGGTCCAGCACACAGCAAGGGATCTTTTTGTAAACCAAGCCTCACGCCTTAGAGACAATGCATCTGTCTCAGATTGTGCTGTATCTTAGTTTGCTGATTGCTTTGGGTCCAGTCGTTTTGAGTGACCAAGAGACGCACCAGCAGCAGCCCTCCGCCACCAGCCCAATAGAAACGGAGCAGTGTGCTACCTGCGAGGTCCGGCAGCAGATTAAAACTATGCGGCTAAACGCGATCAAATCTCAGATTCTGAGCAAACTGCGAATGAAGGAAGCTCCTAATATCAGCCGAGATATAGTGAAGCAGCTCCTGCCCAAAGCGCCGCCGCTGCAGCAGCTCCTCGACCAGTACGACGTGCTGGGAGATGACAACAAGGATGTGGTTATGGAGGAGGACGATGAACATGCTATCACGGAGACAATAATGATGATGGCAACTGAACGTAAGTATTTATTTCACTTTGTTTTTACATAGTTTTGCACCCTAAATAAAAAGGCGCTCAGACCGTTATTACGCGCGGCGCAGAGCGCACGAGAGACGCTGTCAGTAGGCTGTATTGCGACAGCAGGTAGCTTCACCAGGTTTTCAATATAAGAAATGTCGATGTACCAACTTTACTACTATTTAAAACAGTATATGGGCGGGTGCATGTGGGCAGTCAGCGCGCGTGGTCATCACGCGAATGGATTGCTTTCTAAACTTTATTAGCCCACTACCAGATATCACATGACGTGTCAGAGATGTTTATTTACGCCAGTTTATTTCTGTCTGTACACTTCAATCGCGCATGGTCAGTATATAGAGACCCTTTTATTTCTCTGTCTCTCTCCAGCCGAGGCCATCGTCCAAGTGGATGGGGAACCAAAGTGCTGCCTTTTCTCTTTTACTCAAAAGTTCCAAGCCAGCCGCATAGTCCGGGCTCAGCTCTGGGTGCATCTGCGGCAGACGGACGAGGCGACCACTGTGTTCCTGCAAATCTCCCGCCTGATGCCGGTCACAGACGGGAACAGGCACATACGCATCCGCTCCCTGAAGATCGACGTGAATGCAGGGGTCAGCTCTTGGCAAAGTATAGACGTCAAACAAGTGTTGACTGTGTGGCTGCGGCAGCCGGAGACCAACTGGGGCATCGAGATTAACGCCTTCGATTCGAGGGGAAATGACTTGGCCGTGACCTCCGCTGAGCCTGGAGAGGAAGGCCTGGTGAGCTGAACCTATTTTACACTAAACTGAACCCTTATGGTTTTTACTATCATATATAACTAGCAGTTTATTAGTAGAGGAGTGAATAGTGTTATAGTGTTAGTAGCAATGGTGCAGAGCTATTTACTGCAGCAGCAGCTGGACTCCAATTCTAATCATTATGACTATTACTAGCTACTGTAGATTACAATCATTTGACCACCCTGTAGGGAACAAAAATATTTCTTATGGGGTAAGTTTCTAAATAGGTTCCAAAAAGCATTTTGCATACTCTATTGCACCGTTTTAACTTTGGGCTTCCAGAGGGTTTAGTGTGCAGAGAGGCTTTGCAGAGTCAGCAGGTGGTTAAACATTCCTGCATTTCACTGCTGGAAGAGGGAATCAAGATTTAAGACCTTTGAAAGCTGTTAATCAACACAGACTCCATGTAGGCGCACACCTGCATTTGGACAAATGCCCGGTCCACAATAACCTCAAATCTTATTGCTTGATTACATAAAAGTTCACCTGCCCAACATTCCTCAAAGTATTCTGTGTGACTGTGCAAATCAGAGTAATTGCCTGCACACACACACACACACACACACACTGCTACTATCAATGACAAACACTTATCATCCGGCTCAAATACTGGCACCAGGCTCTGAGGCAATTAGAATAGCTAGACGGCTGTGGTTAACCAACCGTTAGATGATTTAATTTCTTTAAAACTCAAAGTTTCATAATATTATCGTGCCATGTTTGAAAACCAGCTGCCAAAGGTCAAGGGCACCAGATTAAAAAATGTAAACCGAATGCTGTCATTCGCCTCTTTTTGCAAACCAGCTATTTTCAAAGTATTCACACACACTCTGTCATTGTAGCAACCGTTCATGGAGGTGAAGATCTCAGAGGGCCCCAAGCGTGCCAGGAGAGACTCGGGCCTGGACTGTGACGAGAACTCTCCAGAGTCCCGGTGCTGCCGCTATCCCCTCACAGTGGACTTTGAAGACTTTGGCTGGGACTGGATTATTGCCCCAAAGCGCTACAAGGCCAACTATTGCTCCGGGGAGTGTGAGTACATGCACTTGCAGAAGTACCCGCACACCCACCTGGTGAACAAGGCAAATCCCAGAGGGACCGCTGGCCCCTGCTGTACCCCCACCAAGATGTCGCCCATCAACATGCTCTACTTTAACCGAAAAGAGCAGATCATCTATGGCAAGATCCCTTCCATGGTGGTGGACCGTTGTGGATGCTCTTGAGTTGGGACGGAGAGCCTGGCGAGAGGGAGGGGAGGGCGGAGGGGCTCTGGCTCAGTCCGGCCTCCAGCTTCAGACTTTTTGACACAACCAATCCACCAGTTCCAGTGCTTTCCCGCAGAACACGGTGCAATAGAACCAGAGTAGACGCCACAAACAGCCCGACCTTCCCGCAGGGCAGCGCTTTCACAACCGGCATAGCTCTTACTTTTCTTTCCTCCAGTGAAATCTTAGCCATAGAGGCTTGAAGTCAGATGGATGCAGGAACACACATACACACACATGCTGGACCTTGGAGTGAATGTAGACAGACACTATCAAAGTTATCCAAAAACTTTTTTTCCCTCTGTCTCGGTGTTCTGTGCTCTGTCCATTTATACAAACATGCCGACAAATTATACTCGTACGCCATCCACTCCACTCCACTCCACTCCTAGCCAACATACAAGCTACTACACTTTTTGCTAAGCTATATGTTTGTGATAATCATTTGTCAAGTTGTGTTTTCAGAGTGAAACCGGGAATCCTCATGGACTTTTTGAAAGGGCTTGGAAAAACACAAATGGAGACTCTTTAGAGTGATATTTCACGCTGGTAGAATATGTTTTAGTACACAGGCTCATGAGAATCGATGAAAAGATGAAAAGTGGCTGCGCGGCAAACCCTTAGTCACCCCCACGTTATTACAGCCACTTATAAAACCCAGCCATAAATTACAACGTTGCACAGATCATTAGCTCTCCTCTACTGGATCAAACTTTGAGTTGCAATTTAGTTTCTTGATCAACCATACTGAGAACGTATGAAGGAAAAGTGTAGACGGTGACATGCTGGTTGATCCTGTGGACACAAACATGTTCCACCAGGGTGAAGTACCACTTTAGGTCTTGACAGGTCTTCATGTACTCCATACATACACGCAGCAGCACACCTGACAGAGGAGCGTTCCTGCTCAGTCATAATCTTCACTATCCAACAGAACAGCCTGACCTGCCCGATACACTTGAATTATTCTCATTGTTAATTCACATTACTGGACAGAAGGACTTGAACTGAAGGCACAATGAATGCAGCCTACAGATGAAAAAAAAATGTGTTTAAGACAGAGAAAAATGGATTGTCGAAATGTATGAATGTTGAGATCATGCTTAAACTCTGTCTTACAAACAACACAGTTTGCACTATGGCACACCAATAGAAAGAATTGGTTGCTACAAAAGTTGAAAAAACTGATTTTGATATGTTTGCTAATTTGTATTGTATACATATGCCATTGTTTCCATTAGGAGTTGCCTTTCTAAACCACTGTTGGTAAATGTATAAAACCACAATCTAGCAAGATAAAAAGATGTAATACAGCAACTCTATATACTTGTTTTAACAAATAAAGTTTCTAGCTTGTTTGTTGAGTTCTGTTTCTTTGACTAGTTTGTTTCTGCATTGCATTCAGATAGTATGTCCTACCAATTGTGTTCATTTTCGATAAATCTGAGCTTCAAGGCCATACTGTTGCATTTAAGGTATATTTAGTATATATTTATTTACATTCCTGGAATACAAGAAGGATACAATATCTGCTTGCATTCAATCATTCATCAAATCATTCATAATTTGAAATCAACAAATTTCAGAGAGGTCGTTACAAGCATAAAACATCAGTTTACTGTGGTTTTTAAAAGAACAAGGCTGGACATGTCTTTGTTTCCAGAGTGGCTTCAGAGATAGCTTAGTGTCATTCTGCAGACTCACAGTTCATATAAAAACTTGATGTTTCACTGTCTTAACACAACAAGCTGAAGCATCACATGGCAGCCCCATTCCACACTTCAGCAGCTGAGAATCTTAACGCATAAGTTACACAGGCAATGTATGAGTATGTGTGCTGGGTGCATTGTATGTGTCCGTGTGGAAAAAAGTAATGACAACACACACACACTGTCTACCTGACTACACTTGCACAATCCCATCACCACAAGCCCGTTTTAGCACAAGCATAATTCAGCCCAAGTTCCCTGACTTTGCTTTTTTTCCAGTGAAGGGATGTTGAAAGTATTGCAGTCTAATGAGAGGATGTGAACTCTGGTGCGCTCTGACAGCATGACCTATTCGACTGACGGCCTCATTGAGGCTTGACTTCCGCCCAGTAGAGGGCGAATTGAGCACTACCCCCGAGAGCCACTTCCTTTCCTGCTGAGAGCTGGAGAGCTGCCATGACGATCCGCCACAGCAGAGAGCAGACTCCGGGTAGAGTGGATCCACAGAACTTCTTTTTCCCTGGGGGAAGGTTTCTAGATTCTGCCCTTGGGTTTGCTGATGACGGGGGGAAAAGTGTCTGAAAAGATCCGTAAACGAGAGAACACTCCTCAGGAAAGGTTAAATACCAAATTGATTATGAGCTGGATTATTGCAGGTTTAACAGAACAGGACAGAACCAATTTATAATCTGTAATCTGTTTTCCTAAACTGTCCTGTTTCCATCTGCAGTTTGACATAGGCATGGACTTTTTATGAGTCTAATACTCTCCAACAGTTTCCAACCATTTACTTTCACATTATTACTAATGATGCATGTCTTAAAAATTAGCAACTGAAGAATGAAAAAAGAGCATGACAGTATCCCATATGTGGATCTCGTGTATAAATGTCAGTTAAACTTGTTTTCATAGCTTACAAGCACGAACATTTTAATTTTACACAACTATTTAAATGTAAGGGTTGGAGGTATTTCTGCTTCTTCCGATGGTAAACATGAAAAAAAGAACTAGAGTAAAACAAGCTGAACATATCATTGTTCTTTCCAGGTCAGCTAAAAGGTACAGTTGTGAACAGCTTGCACCGGTATGAGCTGTTCTGATTCTGTGACATTTATCATGCCCAGGTGCATCATGTCATTCAGTTCCGTCCTGCAGTATTTGCTGCTGTCTGCTTGTTTCAAGGTACTTTGTGAACAGGAGCTGGGAAACGTTTTGACTGAGCATCGTTACATCTGTCAAGAGTCAGACCCTGGAGGACTGTATCCGCCAGCGACATTCCACCCTCTGACAGGTGAGGAAGTGAGAGTGAGAGAACGGGAAGAAGGATGTTAGGGGGTAAAGGAGTAGTCCAAGGCAGCTGGAGACCCCGTTATTGGACAGGATTCCTGTTGTGTAAAGTTAATAGAATTGGAATGGCTAGAACCTGTATTTCTCTTCAAGTCCTCATTAATGAATATTATATAATAATATAGCTGCTTAATAATGTTTGATAATAAGAAAATGGATTCTGGTTATTGGATACAAAGGGAGAAATCACATTTTACATTCTTACAACACAAGGTTGATTTACCCACATCACAAAAAATCATATTTTCCCACTAACTCATAGTGTACTCTGGCCGTAGTTTCGGTTTTACTTTTGCAAGAATTTAGATTTGTGCTGCTCAAAGCATAAAAAACATACATTTATACAACTCTACAGTCACATCTGTTTCCGGAAAAAGTAGAATACACAAACCTTACTGTCAACATATTTCATTGGGATTTTCTTGCAAATGTAAAGGTTGCAACAGTGAATGGTTATCCAGAGTAACACATTGGTTACATTGGTTCTGAAAAGACACACTGCTGGGTTTTTGAAATGTTATCTTTTCATGACTTGTGGCCAAACTATGAGCTGGAGATATCTAAGAGGACTAAGACGTCTACAGCCATACTGCCGCTCCAAGAGGCTGGACAGTGTTTTGAGCTAAATGCTAAAGTCAGCATGCTAACACCATAGACTGTATATAAAAAGGCTAACAAGCTAATGTTTAGCAGGTATAAGGTAGGTATTTTGCACAAAAACACAAAGTACAGCTGGCAAATGGTGTGTTAATTTGCTGGTATTTGATATTTGGTCTGGACAATCCAATTGTCTAGACTGGATTACTGGATAAGTAAAACTAAAAATTCAGAGGATTCATCCTCTGTGAACCATGTAACAAATGTCATAGCAATCCATCCAATAGTTATCTTATATAAATATTTCAATGTGGACCAAAGTAATGGAATGAAACAACCGATCAACTGATTGAACAGCATCCCTAGATTATCCATACACATACCTAAAAAATGCTGTCAGGGTATAAAATAGACAACAGGTGGAATTTATAGGATTGAAGGGCCGTGGAACTCTTGCCTCTGTGGATCACCAAAGTCATTAGAATTTATCAATCTGTACGATCCAATTCAGCCTGGACCAACGTGGTGGAACGGCTGACCTTGCCATCTAATCCATGTTAATGTACACATTTCTGTGAGTAAGCAGAATACAAGAGACATGGGACCCAGGTTTATTTTAGGAAGGTCTAATAGGTCTCTAGAGAAGGTCAATATCCGCAGGTCAAGACACCTGACAGATGATAGCAGCTATTCAAGACAGCAGTCACTTCTAGAGGCCTTTCCAGGAAGGGTGGATGTATGGCTGGAGATAAGTTGAACTTGAACCTAGAAGCTGTGGTTAAAGAACAGGGACTACAACAGATAAATTGTCCAGGCTGAGTTAAAGATTAGAAAACTTAAGTTTAAAGTTGCTGAAGTGTACATTGCTTTATAGGAGTTAGTGTCGTGTTACCTGAAAGTCTATTCAAATATTTGTTACAAGTTAGAGACCATTTTATTCCTCTGCTAATAAAATTGTGGCATGTGGCCTCTTTGTTTATTTATTTGGAGGCATATTTCTGCTTGATACAACCAGTTTACTACAATTCATGAAGGTTTGAAGACTGTCAGCAAGGCTACACTGCCAATGTGTTAAAAAAAACCCCATCATAATGAGCATTCTACTCAAGTTCTATAAACTGAGACAGAAAAAAGTGTTTTCTTTACTATGTTTCAATATTCTATAGCAGCCAGATAGATATGTCATATGTCAAGAGGCCTCATGATTCCCCCCATGATTCCCCCCACACTGTCCCACATCTGGACAAAGGAGAGCGATGCCCTGTCCTGGACATGGTGCAGGGCCATGGACAAGGGGTGGGGAGAGAAAAGGGGCTTGCCACGTGCATCCAAAAAACATCTGGATCCTTTAACAGATGTTCAAACCATACCATCTGGAGAAGTGTTTCTGCTGACTGATCGCATATGGCTATGGTCTTCCTTGACAACAACACGGTTCAAGAGTGATGACAGATCAACCACAAAGAGACTAAAGCGAACATGTCCACAAGGTGGATGATATCATGAAATAAAACTGTTTTTGGGTGCATTTCATTTTATTCTGACACTACAGGAGAGAGAGACGGGAAAGGCTGGGGAGAGAGAGGAGAATGACTTGCAGCAAAGGGCCCAGACAGACTCAAACCCGGGCCGCTGCGGTAAGGACTCAGCCTTGACATGTACACAAGCTATACCAGGTGAGCTACCGGGGTGCTGCCTGAAATTCTTTTATTACCCCTCCTACACAGTTTGAAAAGAAAAATGTCATTTTTTTCCATCTGTTGTGTGGATCGTGAACCTATATGCTGATTTCTACTCCACACATTTCAACACTAGCCTGGTTACAGAACACTGAATCATGCTCACCTCTCTGATTATTTCAGCGATTTAAAAAGGTCTGTGGATTTTCCCATCGATGGCTATTTCCCTGGTTAAAATAAAAAACATACATGACAGCCTGTCCACTATGCTCTGCTACTACCAATCACTAATCACGCAGTAGTGTATATGGGGCCTGAGCTTGCCACTTCCTCATTACGAGGGGCTCAGCTACTGCTCAACACAATCACAACTGTTTGCAGTCTTGACTCCACAACGGTGGAACAATCTCCCCACTGACTTCAGGACAGCAGAAACTCTACACATCCACCATCGCAAACCAAAAACTCATATCTTCAGACTGCACCTTGGCCCAGAAAAAAATATTTAAAACAACCTATTTATCTCTTATTGTTTTTAATATGTATATTGACATATATATTTATTTTGATGAAGCTGCCTGCAATTTCTGTAAGTCAATTTAAAGAAATAACTCTTATGTCTGCATTTTTGTTAGATCATCATGAAAAGCGTTCAACGTGCTCAACCGCTACCACAGCTTGTGTTGAGCATGTTTCAGTTACGGGAGTTGCCATGACGTTTTAAACATAATATGTGGCACTTTATAATTTTAATTAAATAAGAATCCCTTTTCATCCAAATTGATGTTTTTCTTCCACCTTGCTTATTGGATCATTACATTATAGACAGTTCAGAGATCTATTATATCCAGACTTGTAGTTAAAGAAACAACCATTTAGACTATCCCCTGATTACCCTGATGTGTGGGCAGGAGATGTAAATTTGGTAGTCGTTTGATAAAAATACTTTTATGTGTCTTGACTTTTATATGAAAAAAAATCATCATTTAGTTCTTGTTTTACGTAAGATCAAGTAGTACAATCTGTAACTGA